GGGGGGGGGGGGGGGTAAAAGAAAGCAGAGCTGAGCTCTCTACACTGAGTTGGACATTATTACATTTGTCATCTGTTTTCTTTCTCCTTTAGGATGTTCACCATGGCAACGGTACACAGCAGGCTTTTTATGCTGACCCCAGCATCCTGTATGTTTCCCTCCATCGCTATGATGAAGGCAACTTCTTCCCCGGCAGTGGAGCCCCAAATGAGGTTAGGTTTATTTCTTTAGAGTCCCATTTTTATTTGTATCTTTCAGGTAATTGCGTTGCATGATTACCCCTAATTTTCTTGTCCTTCTCTGGTTCTCTAAATTACACCAGATTACCAAATTGTCCACTGGGAGCAGGGGACCAGTGGAGAACAAGTGCATAACCCAGAGCAGTCCTTGTCAAACAAGGCTGGGCTGATCTGACATGTTGTTTGATGTTTGTTTCTAAAGGCCACTTGAGAATTTTTTTTTCCCTTTCTCTTTCTTTTCCTCCTCCTTTTTCCTCCTCTTCACTCCTTTTGGCATTTTATTCTTATTTTTCAGGTTGGAACTGGCCCTGGTGAAGGGTATAACATAAATATTGCTTGGACAGGTGGCTTAGATCCTCCTATGGGTGATGTTGAGTATCTCACAGCATTCAGGTTGGTACCTTTTTCTTTTAAAGTTATGAAAACTGGTTGTAGAACATAAGCACATGAATAAGAGTTAATGTAATCTTGAAAGACAGGAGAATGACCCATGGTGAAACTAACTTAATATTGGTATACCAGTATGCAAAAGCTTAGTAAATAATAAAACCGAATAATTTAATTGTTGTGATCATCCACTAAGAATTTACAAAAAAAAATCTAATTATTTAATAGGTCACTCATTTTATCATCATTGTATCGACCAGTAAAATGACTTTGAGCTTGCTCACTTCTCTACCCACAAAATTTAAATGTAGGCATTTATACCAGCAGAAGAAAATTGCTGTTCACGTTCACTTTGATTGCAATTACATGCAAGTTGAGCAGATAGAAAGCAATAAGAAGCATGGTCCAAAGCCAGCGTTCCTCATTCACTTAGAAGCCTCATCATCATGCTCACAGATTTGACCAGTTGGCTTTTTCTGTGAATTGCAGTGAAGTGTTATTTACTTAAAAGCAAATAATTGTGAAATGTCTCAGTAGTAATGATAGGAAATGTTGCATGCTGTGTTTCTCTTTGCTTTCAATAGCTCATTCTAAATGAAATTTCATTCTTTCATAGGTGATGCGTCACAATCTTTAGTCTTATTTTCATGGGACCAAAGGAGATAAAACCAGTTTTAAACAGATTACTTTAGACTTACAGTAGTCCTGTCTTTCATACACCTTTTCCTTCCATTGTAAAGTAGTCTGGTGGAAGGGTTTAGTGGGCACTCACCTCACAAGATTGGGCAAACGCTACATGTTTGAAAAGAGTTTTAATTTAGTGGAAAATGATATGTAAGAAAGGCAATGAGACAACTAACATGTATCTCCAAACACTTTCAAGCACTTTAGTTTGAAGTACTGCATTTACTTTATATGGCCTTTTACTATATTCTATTGAAAATACATCACAAAAATTATAAAACTAATCTGGGGTTTTTTTGTTGTTTTTTTTTTTTCTGAAGCACTCCACTGCAGTCCATGAAATAATATGCATAGGATCTGATAAACACACCTGAATTCAAAGTCTAAACCCTAGACACAGAAATAGCCTTACATATTCACAATATCACAGTTATTATGGAAAAGGCTTTAATTTTAGTTACATTTCCCTGTATTTAAAAAGGTCTAAACAAATAGTGGCAGGCTCCAAATTTTCTACACCTCAGTATTGCCTCAAGCTTTTTCCAAGTTTGTCTTATTCTTTGATGAGATTTTACAGAAGTTAGGGGACTGGGTAGTTTAAATCACTGGTATTTGTGTCTGATATTAATATAGCTGGTATTATGACACCAAAGTTCTTGGATTGGAACCAACCTGTCCCATTAATGATATAGGTAATGTGGCCATCTAACACTACAGAGAATGATGGTCCCAGCTTATTGAACAGTTTACTCTCATGTAACTGAGACTGCAACCATAGTAAGTACCCTTGTTATCCTGACAACAAATACCTCAGCTTAATATATATATTTTCAAACATGTACTTTGCAGTTCTAGTTTAAGGCACACTAGTAAATATTTTAGAGCAGCTCATATAGCTGCTGTATCTATTACTCTGCTTCAGTGTTAGATGGAATTTCAATCTCAGCAAAGCAAAGTAAAATTCATGTAAGCTGGTACACACTGACTAATCATTCGCAGACATACCACTAAAATAAATGCCTAAATATATATACATTTTTTTTAAGTGCAGATAAATTCAAAGCAAAGTTTGGGATTTCCCTTAAAAGAATTGCTGATGGTGCAAAATTTAATGATGCTATTTTAAATTCATCCATTTAATCTTGCAAATAATGTTGTAATTAATGTGAAGGTTATGCATTGATTTAATAGTTAATTGCTTTTTTTTTTTTTAGAAGTATAATGCTGTTGACTGATTACAATAGATACTGCTGTTTTGTTTTTCTCCAAAAGAGTAAGAATAACAGATGTTTCCCTTCACCCTAAGCCCCTTTTGCCTGGGAACAGTCTTTGTGCCCTCTGTAGGACTTATTGATATGGATTTGGTATGACTGGCATGACAGTTTTGAGTGGGGATCAATGAAGCAAACAGCATGGAACTTTGAGGGGTAAATGCAAAAATCTGTAAATTACATAGGATAGACCAGGTAACATTTTTCTATGGATCTGGTCTGAACAGTAGGTAAATTTACAACTCCTAGTAAAAAGACACTTAATCTGTGGACCAGAATCTATCCCTGCTATTATTCAAAATGCTACACATGATGTAACCTGTGTTCACAGTTTGGCCAGGACAGAACTGTGAGACAATAGACAGGAAAGAGAGATCCAGAGTTCAATCCTTTAGCCATAGATAGAAAGAAAGGTACAGTCTTGGAGAAAGATCAATAGAAGACTTGCTAAAAACACCCAGCAAGTCAGCTGTTGTTCTGGAGTTTTGACCTGCAATAGACCAGTTTTTAAGAAAATCAAACAGTAAGATTTGTAGATAGGAAAATAGGCTTGATTTTTTTTTTTCAAATCAATTGACTTTAGAGACAGAGTTACAGAGAAGATCCTAACTAAGGGGTAGGGAACGCACTGGACATCCTCAATTGAGATTTTTTCTCTTCATACCTGCTTCCCAGTAGATAGAGAGGTTATGCACTATTCGATCCCTAGCAAAGACAGGAGAGGTTGTTGGTGAAGGCCCTCTCCAAACTAACCAAGGTGTGAATAAGTTTGGAGACAGATGGAGTCTGTTTGGAGAGAAGATGAGGCCTCCTGCTTTCTGGCTGCCTCAAGGTTCTAATCCTTTGAATTCTTAGGAACTGAGAAATTTGCATTAAAATCATCTAAAGCTCCCTAGGGGGTAAACATAACCTTCATGTTCTCACCAGCAGAACCCTAGTTTCTTCCTAGAATTGCACCAAGCACATATTTGAAGTGTCAGTGGCCATGACACTAAGAAGCCCATTACTGCTTGATTGATTGTCAAATTTCACAGCAGAGATCCTTCTGAATGATAATGTCCACTGGAATAGAGACCAAGGCTTTTTACTGCCTCTAGAGTTTTGCCCATAATCAGGTATTATATATGATGATGTGTTTGATATCAGAATCTATTTGTAAAACAGTGTAAGGTTTTACACACAGAGATATATATACATGCAGGTAGCTGATTATTAGTTATTTTCCACTGTATAAATCACTAGGTAAATCTATTTTAAGTAAGTCTTGTTGGAACTGAATGAGATACCACCTCATTCTTCCTCCAAACTGTCTGAGAAAATATTTCTGTTTCTTCAGGAAAGAGCAACTTTCATCTGCAAAAATGCAGAAAATCTGAAGATGAGTTAGAGGCATAACACAGAACAATCACTTCAAAGGCATACTGAGTGAGTGGCTCCAGTGGGACTGTAGTGGGAAACAGGAAAAATTATGGTGCTGCTTTGTGTCTGCCATTATGCACTCTTTCTAGCGCAAAATCAAATTTAAATGGCTGTAGCCAGTTTGAAGATGAAGACATATATAAAATAATATGTTTTCCTTTCCATTTATTTCCCATTTCTACTAAGAAAATATGTTTGCTTATGTTAACTACAAGGAGGTAGTAGAAAATGTAGAAGAGAGAAGTTTCTGTAGAATGGAAAAAAATGCAGTAATCAAATCACTGTATCTTTTAATTTTGCCAGAAAAGTTTTGTTTGATGTTTACCGTAATTAAGCAACTGGTCTAGCTAAAAAAATCCTTGATATAATGTCCTTTTTCTAAAGGGCAGGCACCTTTTCTTTTCCCCTATGATAATAAAAAACCCACAGTTCTTTTCCATTATTTTCAAGATCTGATGCATCTTTCCATCTAGAGATTTTTGTTTCACCATTTACTTCCACCTTTTCAGGTTAAATTTACTTTAGTCTCTTTGAAAGAAATAGTGAATGGTGGCTGTTTTCTAAGAGGATGATCCTACACTGGAATTTATGAGGATGTAGTCCACTCTCTTCTGTCAACAGTTATAGAAAAATAAGAACAATGGTCAACTACTAATGTTCAAATAATTATTTTCATAAGCTCCACATTAAGCTAGATGTGCTCAGTAAAGGAGGCAGCAGACAGAGGCTCAAGTCTGTGTTGTACATGCACACATGTATATGTATATGTATATGTATATGTATATACTTGGAGTTTACAGAGAACAGGAGAGATATGTTTCTGTAGAGCAGAATATAAAAGACACAGGAGGCAGTGGAAACAAATGTGAGTGTTCAGAAGAGGGAGGGAGAAGCAAGAGACAGAAGGAAACTGGGGTGTGCCTTCCAACTGCTTTGCACTGCTTTTATTCAACAAAGGAGCTGTAAATTTAGCTTAACCAGCCAAAATGCTCTGGCTGCTTTGCTCTGCTCCAGAGTAGCATAAAACAGCCACAGCATATCAATGAACCTGGCCATAAAAGCTTACATAAAATGAAACGTGTGTGTATGTGTTTCTTGGAATGATTAGAAATAGCTCATGATAATATTATCTTTGAGTTCAGTTTTTAGCCGTCACATGTATGATTTTAATTTAAGAAGGTGAGCAAATTCAAAAGACATAGGTGACATTAAGGCAGAGTTAAGGATGAACTATATTCGGGATTTAATTGAAAATACATCACAAAATTTATAATTGCCCTAAAATAATAATTTTAAACAAGAGAATTCAAAATTAAAATCGTATTTGAAACCACATACATTAAAAAGTAAAATGAAAGAAAATGAAGGTGTGCAGAAAATCTTCACCGTCTTACAGTTCTCGGTGCTTGTTTTGGGAGAAAATAAATATGTTTAAAACTCTATGTATTCTAATCTCTGATGAAAAATATTAAGAAATATTCTTTGTAGTCATGTGGTGTTACAGTGAATAGTTAAGATTATTTGAGAGATTGCATTGTTATATACCAACCCTTTTCTTTGTCTTATTTTTGGGTTTCCTGATCTGATGACATTTAATTTCAAATTGAAAACTTTGGAAATATATTTTTGTTA